CCCCCCCCAAAAAAAAAAAAGAAGAAGCAAAGAATGGTATTATGGACCAAATAGAGGTGGCCCTCCAAAATAGGGACGATTGCAACAAGTGCCCCTTTAGTCAATTCTGCAGCCTCCGGATGTATTGGATGGACTACAACTTCTTTCATCCCCAGCCAGCACAACTAGCCATGGGGTGGCAATGCCAACAGTTGGGTTACAATATCAACAATGGAGTTGCAACACTGACAAAGGGGTAACAATATTGACAACAGGATGGCAATACCAACAATGGGATGGTAATATATGACAATGGGATGGCAATATCAGCAACAGGGTGGCAATACCAACAGCAGGATGGTAATACTGACAATGCAATGCAATTGCAATGGGATGGTAATACCAACATCGGAGTGGTAATACCAACAATAGGATGGCAATATATGACAATGGGATGGTAACACCAATAACCAGGTGGCAATACCAACAACAGGATGGCAATACTGACAATGCAATACAATTGCAATGGAATGGCAATACCAACAATGGGGTGGCAATAGCAAGAATAGGGTGGCAATTCTGACAATGGGATGGTAATACTAATAACGGGGTGGCAATACTGACAACAGGATGACAATACTGACAAGGCAATGCAATTGAAATAGGATGGCAATACCAACACCGAAGCCAGGATGACAATACCAACACCTTCACCAACAATGGGAAGGCAATACCAACAATGGGCAGGTAATACCAACAACGGGATGGCAATACCAACAGTGGGACAGCAATAGTTGACAATGGGATGGTAATACCAAAAACCGAGTGGCAATACCAACAACAGGATGGCAATACTGACAATGCAATGCAATTGAAATTGGATGGCAATACCAACAAAAGGATGGCAACACTGACAATGGGATGGTAATATCAACAATGGGGTGGCAATGCCAACAGGATGAAATACTGACAATGCAATGTAATTGCAGCGGGATGGCAATAGCACCAACGGGGTGGCAATATCCAACAATGGGGTAGCAATACCAACATGACGGATCCGTCATTATGGTAGCAATACCAACAACAGGGTGGCAAAAACCCCTCCCAAATCCAAAATTCTCCTCATGGGTGGCTTCCGGGTGGTTCTGTGCCCATTAAGTAGCCTTCATGTGCTCTAGTATTTGACACGTTATGTATAGAAGGGCCTTCTGTATGAAGGTTGATAAAATGTCAATTAATTTCATGTTTCGATTTGAGTCCCATTTTGAAGAGACCTTGTAATGTATGTCTATGCAAATACAGGCCTTCTATATCAGTCATGAAAGCCTTCGATATACAGATGTTTGTTTGGGTATGCGTGTATATATTCATATATATGTATATTTGAGGGGACACTCTAGTTCAGGGGTAGGGAACCTTTGGCCCTCCAGCTGTGGTGGACTTCAACTCCCACAATTCCTTGAGGCTCGGCATTGGGCCAAGGTAAGCCTTTGGGGCGAATGCCGAGCCTCAAGGAATTGTGGGAGTTGAAGTCCACCACAGCTGGAGGGCCAAAGGTTCCCTACCCCTGCTCTAGTTAATAAATAGGAAAAACTCAAATAGAAATGATTATCCTGAAGGTGAAAGGTGAACATCCCTGAGGGAACTTATTACGATTCTCCCCGGCGGGAATACTATTTCCCACCCTAAACGTTCAATATTGTTTGCTGGGATCCCTGAAGGGATTTCTGACAGGAGGCCACCTGACAAGGCCACGTGCACTGAATAATAATGGCACGGGCCATAACCTTGGCACTGAGGGAAGACAACGAGCGAGAGAAGACGGGTGCCACCACCTCCCTCCGTTTGGAGGGGAATGAAAGCGGGAGAGCCAACAAGGCACACGGGAGTGGGCGGGGCCTCCTGAGCAAAGGGACTGAGCCTAGGTGATGGGCGGTGCCTCCTGGCAAAGGCGGTGGGCGGAGCCTCTTGAGCAAAAGGGGTGAGCAAAGTCTAGTCTTGAGCCAAGGGAGTGGGCGGAGCCTCCTGAGCTAAGAGAGTGGGCGGAGCCTCTTGAGCAAAGGGGGTGAGCAGAGTCTAGTCTTCAGTTAAGGAGGTGGGCGGAGCCGCCTGAGCAAAAGGTGAGCACAGCCTAGTCTTGAACCAAGACTGAGCGGCAGCCTCTCGAGCCAAGGGAGTGGGCGGGGTCTCCTGAGCAAAGGGCGTTTTATTTATCATGTCAGAAGCAAGTTGAGGGTACAGTTAAAACGCATTGAAAAAGACAAAGTTTTAAAAAACTTGGCTTTATTCTAAATGTCCTTTGACCAGAAGCTGACCACTTGGAGTGCCTCTGGTCAGGCATGTAGGCGGGGGAGGGGGGGGGCTTGAGGGGCTTCAGCCCCCCCCCCCCCCGAAATTCTCATGGTGGTTCGCGAAAAGGCCTTACTGGTGCATTATTTAAACTGTTATGTTTATTCATATCTTGATCTGATCACCATACTCAATATATCCCATATGCATGGGGGTATTGGGGTATTGATACAAAAGGTTTGCTAGGCTAGACCCTCTTTCACTCAGACTCAGCCCCCCCCCCCAAAACTCAGCCCCCCCCGAACCCCCCTAAAAAAATTTTATCCCCCACCCCCCCAAAATGAAATCCTGGCTACGGGCCTGCCTCTGGTGTTGCTCTGAGAAGGTCCTCCATTGTGCATGTGGCAGGGCTCAGGCTGCATTGTAGTAAGGGGTCTGTGGTTTGCTCTTCTCCACTCGCATGTCGTGGACTCCACTTTGTAGCCCCATTTCTTAAGGTTGGCACTGCATCTCATGGTGCCAGAGCGCAGCCTGTTCAGCGCCTTCCAGGTCACCCAATCTTCTGTGTGCCCACGAGGGAGTTTCTCATCCAGTCTCGGCCACTGATTAAGGTGCTGGATGTTAACCTGCCACTTTTGGACTCTCGCTTGCTGAGGTGTTCCTGCAAGTATCTCTCTTGATCTTAGGAAGCTATTTCTCGATTTAAGCCATTGGCATGCTGGCTAATATCCAAACAGGGGATGGGCCAGAGATATCACTGCCTTGGTCTTTTCACTATTGGCTGCTACTTCCCAATGGATGTCAGGTGGTGCAATACCAGTTAAACAGTATAATTTCTCCAGTGGTGTGGAGCATAGACATCTTGTGATAGTGTGCATTTCTCATTAAGAGCCACATCCACTGTTTTAACGTGGTGAGATGTATACCAAACTGGGCATGCATACTCAGCAGCAGAGTAGGGCAGGTGTCTTCACTGTGTCTGGTTGTGATCCTCAGGTTGTGCCAGTCGGATTCCGTATGATATTATTTCTAGCACCCACTTTTTGCTTGAAGTCAGAACACAATCCAGAGTGACTCCCAGATATTTTGGTATGCTGCAATGCTCCAGTGGGATTCCTTCTCAGATCTCAAGATGCTTGTCTGTTCTTAAGGTGAAAAGCACACACCTGCCTTTTAGATGGATGAGGAATCAGCTGGTTTCCCCTGTAATAGGCAGTAAGAGCACCTAAATCTTCGGAGAGCTTCTGTTCAACCATTTCAAAGCTCCCTCCTTGAGCATTGATGGCAGGATGGTCAGCATAGATGAAACTCTCTGTCCCTTCTGCCAGTGTAAATGTTAAACATGGATGAAGCAAGCACGCTCTCCTGAGGCAGGTCGTTCTTCTGTTTCCACCATCTGTTTCTCTGGCCCTGGAACTCAACAAGAAAGCTATTTTGTAGCAGATTTCCTATGAAGTGGGTGAGATGGTAGTCCTTTGTGATATTATACATTTTTCTCAGGAGAAGGCGATGATTTTCAGTAGCGTATACTGCTGACAGCTTCTTTTTTCATGTCAGGAGTGACTTGAGAAACAGCAGTTCGCTTCTGGTGTGAGAGAATTGGCCGACTGCAAGAACGTTGCCCATGGGATGCCCAGATGGTTGATGTTTTACCACCCTTGTGGGAGGCTTCTCTCATGTTCCCGCATGGGGAGTTGGAGCTGACAGAGGGAGCTCAACCCACTCTTCCTAGATTTGAACTGCTGACCTATTGGTTAGCAGTCCTGCCAGCACAAAGGTTTAACCCACTGTGCCACTGGGAGCTGACAGCTCCTGTAATCTGATGCCTTTCAAAACCATCTTCTATGTGCACTTGTAATGTGCAGCTTTTCTGTTTCCTGAAACCAGCTTGCTGTGGAATCATACATGGGTTTATTTTTTCCATAATTCTGTGCAAAATTAGTCTCTCCTAACTTTGTAGAGACACATGAGAGAAGCCTCCCCGCAGGATAGTAACTTCGTAGATTGATTCTCTCATACCAGAAGCGACTTGTAGCAAAGATGGTGAGCAGAGCCAAGGGAATGGGCGAAGCCTCTTGAGCCAAGGCCGTGAGGAGCAGCCTCTGGAGCCAAGGGAATGGGCGGGGCCCCCTGAGGAACGGGGGTGGGCGGAGCCACTGAGTCAAGGCGGTGGGCGGAGCCTCCTGAGCAAAGGAGGTGAGCAGAGTGTAGTGTTGAGTCAAGGGAATGGGCGGAGCCTCCTGAGCCACGGCGGTGAGGAGCAGCCTCTGTCTGGAGCCAAGGGAGTGGGCGGGGCCACCTGAGGAAAGGGGGTGGGCCCATACCCTTACCCGGCGTCCAATCCGAGACCGGCCCGCCCGCGTCGTCTCCGCCCCTCGCTCCTTCAGCGCGTGCGCGAGCGAGCGCGGTCCCGTTGGCGTTGTGGGGGGGGGGGGGGGCGTTGCGTTGCGTTGCGCTGCGTTCCAGCGCGCGGTGCATGCCGGTGGCCTTCGCCTTCTCCCCTCAGACACCGCTGCTGCTCCAACATGGCGTCGCGCTGCCAGTGGCCTGCCTGAGGGGAGGCGGCGGCGGAGAGTGGTGGTGGTGGTGTTGGGAAGCGGGGTTGAGCCAGCTGGCGGGGGAGGCGCGGGAGCGGAAAGGACGCCGCCTCCTCCGCGCCCCCTGCGCGCCGCCTCCCCCGGAGCCACTTTGCCTCGTCCGCGCTCCTCGGCGGCGGCGGCGGCGGCGGCGGCGGCGGCGGCTCCTTCCCCTCCCCGCCATGGTGGGGGGCTGAGGAGGCCCGCCTCGGCGCTCGCCCGCCTCCTGCCGCTCCTCGACGGCCTCCCGCCCTTCCCGTCCCCCTCTTCCCCGTCCCCGTCCTCCCCGTCTTCCCCTTCTCCCCCGGCCCAAGGGCGGCGGCAGGAGGCCCGCTCGGCGCCTCCCATCCAGGCCCCGCCGCCTCCTCCGCCCCCTCCGCCTCCTCCGCCGCTCTCCCCGCCGCCCCTGGCCGCCATGGGCTCTCCCGCGGGCCTCGCCGGCGCCGCCGCCTCCACCGCCGCCGCCGACTCGGCCCAGTGGCTCTCCGTCAAGGAGGAGACCATCTTCCTGCACGACGGCCTCATCCGTGTCACCGACCTGGCTGAGCTGCCCAGCGAGATCGTCGGAGGGGCCGAGAGCGCCGACGCCGAGCTGGAGGTGAGCCGAACAATGGCAGAGGGGGGGACGGGGGACGCGGGGGGGACGGGGTCTGTCTATCCAAGGCATCCTCTCTGCAAGCCCCTTCTCTTCCAGCCACACCAGAGCCACTCCAAGTGGCCAGATTCTGGTCAAAGGAAATGAAGCATCATGCCAAGGGTTGAACTTTGCCCGTGGTTTTTCTTAATGCATTAGAATTGTGTTCTCCGTTCTCTCCTGAGGCCCCTTCCACACAGCTGAAGAAAACAGTAATACATCTTTTTTCATATCCCACTTTTCTCCCTAAGGGGACCCAAAGCGGCTCACAACATTATTACCATTATTTATTTATTTTTGTCCCACTTTTCTACCGTGGGTGGGAGTCAAAGCGGTGAACCATGCTTCAAACAGTAGTTCCCGACCTGTGGGTCCCCAGGTGTTTTGGCCTACAACTCCCAGAAATCCTAGGCAGTTTACCAGCTGTTAAGATTTCTGGAAGTTGAAGGCCAAAACATCTGGGGACCCACAGGTTGAGAACCACTGGGTTAAAACAACAGAAATTACATGACACAAAAGCAAAAATAAAGCAGATATACAATAGCACTTGTATATGGAGCCCCCAGTGGCGCAGTGGGTTAAACCCCTGTGCCGGCAGGACTGAAGACCGACAGGTCGCAGGTTCGAATCCGGGGAAGAGGCGGATGAGCTTCCTCTATCAGCTCCAGCTCCTCATGCGGGGACATGAGAGAAGCCTCCCACAAGGATGATAAAAACATCAAATCATCCAGGCGTCCCCTGGGCAACGTCCTTGCAGACGGCCAATTCTCTCACACCAGAAGCGACTTGCTCCTGACAAAAAAACAAAACAGTAGCACTTTCATGGCCGGAATCACTGGGTTGCTGTGAGTTTTCCGGGCTGTATGGTCATGCTTCTGGAACAAGGCCATACAGCCCAGAAAACTCACAACAACCCAATAACACATCACATAACCATATACAACAAGCTTAATAAATATAATATATCCCACTAAAATTCCCTGGGCCTCAGGCCACTGAGGTCATCCATCAAAACATAATACTACAAATCCAAGAAGCTCTGCTTCTTTAGACCGTGTAAACGTTGTCAAGTCCGAGATAGCCTTCATTGATATGCCTTACCCATTGCTGTCTGGTCAATACCTATTATGGGTTATCGGAAAAAGACTGCTTCCACAGGAAGGTTTTGACCTTTGGTCAAAAGGCCAGTAAAGGGGAGCTTGATCACACCTCTTTGTGGATGGAGTTCCTGAGCTGCAGGGCCACCATCGAGAAGGAAGGCGCTCTCTCTCATTCCCACCAACTGTGATCGTGATGGTGGCGGGACTGAGAGAAGTGTCCCTCCTGATGATCTCAGGGCTCCTGTGGACTGGTAGGAGGAGATGCAGTTGCATAAGTAGACTGAGCCTGAACCGTTTAGGGCAGTGGTTCTCACCCTGAGGGTCCTCAGATGTTTTGGCCTTCAATTCCCAAAATCCTAACAGCTGGTAAACTGGCTGGGATTTCTGGGAGTTGTAGGCCAAAACATCTGGGGACCAACAGGTTGAGAACCACTGGTTTAGAGTTTTATAGGCTAAAGCCTGCACTTTGAATTGTGCCCAGAAACAAGCTGGGAGCCAGTGTAGCTGCTTCATGAGCAAAGTAGTTCTTTCTCTATATCCTGCCCCTATAGGTAGTCTAGCAGCTGACCTTTGGTCCAGCTGAAGTTTCCGAACGCTCTTCTGGGGCAGCCCCATGTAGAGCACATTACAGTAATCTAATCTGGATGTGACTAAGGCAACTACTAACATGGCCAGATTGGGCTTTTCAAGGTATAGGTGCAGCTGGCACACATAATACAATACAAATCAAAGCAAATTTAACATAAAGTAGAAGACAGAAATCACATGAGGCATCATAACATCCAGAAATACGATATAAATAAATATTAAGTGTTTAAAACCAATTGGCAATTATTGTGGAGACTCATCAATTACATAGTATATTTTGTTAAGCTCAGTCCAAATCAAACTTGCTGTCATGAGCATTTGAATTCATTCGCCAAAAGCTTGCTTGAACAGCAGGTAGGTCTTCAACTGGTTCTTAAAATATAACAGGGAAGGGGCAGTTTTAATCTCAATAGGGAGGGAGTTCCAAAGGGCCGGGGTGGCTGCCAAGAAGGCCCTCTCTCTCATCACCACCAACCATGTTTGTGATGGTGGCGGCAACGAGAGAAGGGTCTCTCCGGAAGATCTTAATGATTGGGCAGGTTAGTAAGAGGCGATGCAATCAGATAGTTAAGTTGGGCCTGAACTGTTTAGGGCTTTAAATGTCAAAACCAGCACCATGAATCGGGCTCGGAAACATATTGGCAACCTGTGTAGGTGCTGTAACAATCCCACAGTACTTTTAACTGGAATATATGGCAGTGTGGACTCAGATAACCCAGGGCCCTTGCACACAGCCGTGTAACTCAGAATATCAAGGTAGAAAACAACTAAAATCCATAAACACAAGAAAAACACTACAAATATGCACACTAAAACATACCTCCATAAAAGCTACATACCAAACCGTTTCTCTATGAAATACATATTAAAACAGACAAAACAGAGATTAAATAAAGGACTTGCATTAAAATTCATGTTTATGTTTAAAGACTGTCTGGGTAGGCCTGCCAGAAGAGACAGGTTTTTGCTTGTGTCTTAAATTCCAACAGCTGGTTTAGCTGTCACAGCTCTATTGGCAGGTTGTTCCATAGCCTAGGGGCGGCTGATGAAAAGGTGGTCCTCTGGGTGGTGGTTGCCGATTGGATTATGGCTTGTTGGAACAGACAACCCCCCAGAAGACCGAAGTGTGCAGGGTGCATTGTATGGGAGAAGGCAATCCTTTAGTAACCTGGACTCAAACTATGTAGGACTTTAAAGGTAAAAAACCAATACCTTGTATGTTGGTCGGAAACTGATTGGCAGCCATTGGAGTGACTTTAGGATACGTGTCATATGCTCACTCCTAGAGGTTCCTGTAACCAGTCTGGCTGCCATATTTCAAACCAACTGGACTTTCCAAACTTGGTACAAAGGGTGATGGAATTCCGACCCCTTCCATCCCACCCCTTTGTCCCAGTGGTCCACTTGCAAGCCTTAAGTGAGAGCAAAGCAAGAGATCAAGGAATAGCAAGGAACCCGGTACAATCTCTTCTGGGAATGGATCAGAAACACTCTCCCACCTTCTCTCTCTCTTTTGGTTGTGTTGAGGCTCCTGCAAAAGAGCAATCCATAGTATCATCATCCTAGAAGTCTGGCCCATCATCCTTTAAAAATGGATTAGGACCACAGCCCTGCGTTCCCCACCCCTTTGACCAAGTAGTCCTTGAAAGGCTCGGTCCCCTTCAAGCCTCCTTGAGGAGAGCAGAGTGGGACCTCAATTGATATTGTTGTTGCTGCCGCCGCCATTGCAGTCCAACCCAATGTTCTTTGGGAATGGCCTTAAGCAGAAAGGCTTGGCATCTCCTTTTAGGACCTGTCCATGCTCCTCTCATGGTGTCACTTTGAATTGGAAACCCATTGGGAAGGGGATCATGACACCTTCTCCCTCCCTGGCGTTCCCTGGCTTTCGCAGCCTGCCTCCCTTCACACTTTGGCAAATGAGTCCTTCATCCACTTGGTCCACTTGGGATCTTCTGTAGGAGAGCAAAGCAGGAGAGCAATCCATCTCACCCCCATCGAAACCCACCCCAACATAAATGAATTTAGGAGGCGGGCAGGGGGTTCACTATTATGCCTTCCATTGGGAAGGAGATGATGGCACCCCTTCCATTCCTAGGGACAGGGACCTGGACTTCAACATCTTAATTTCCAGGATCAGGATCGCCATCATGCTTTCTCCCCCTTTGTCAAATGAGTTCACTTGGAGTCTCCTTTAGGAGAACAAAAAGGTCTATCAATAAACATAATCTGCATCTGTGTGTGATTTGGTAATTGCACAGTGGCAGACAGAAAGGTGTTCCAAATGGTCACCACTTCTGCACAGAGAAGCATTGGTTGCCTTCTTTCTCCTCTCTCTGGAAGAACTTTATAAGTCCCACAGCCTTAAGAGAGCTCAGAGCATTCTTAAGGATCCATCTCACCCAGCATATTTTTTTTTTTTGGATTATTACCATCTGGCAGACGGTACAGGATGACAAAGGCAAAACAGACTGAAAATACAGTTTTTATCTTAGAGGTGTATGTTGAACTTCATGGTTTTGCTTTGATGTGGCATTAGGGGCTGTGCAATAGTGGTTAGAATGTAGAGGAATGGGTGTGTTGTTTGCTGGGGAAGGCATTTAATTTCGTTATGCAATAGCACAATGACAAGCTATTCTATTCTATCATAGTCATCATAGAAATCTAGGACAGCATCCTCTGTGGATGAATAGGAGTCACCATCCTGCCTTCTCTCCCCTTTGGCCAAGTGGTCCACTTCAATTCCTTTAGAAGAGCAAAGTGAGATGTCAACAAATAGCATCATCGTGAAAGAAACCAAGCCCAGCCTGCTCTGGGAATGGATTGGGGTCACCATCATGCCTTCTCTTCCCTTGGGAAAATTGGCCCTTGGTCTGCTTGGAGTCTTCTTTCGGATCTGTCCCTCTCTCTCCTCCTCCTCCTCTTCTCCCCATGTGGCTTGGATGATGGCATCCTCTCCATCCCTTAGGGGACTGGGGGTCGTTGTCATGCCTTCTTTTTCCTTTGGCCAATTGGTCCCTGATCCACTTTGAGTCTCCTTTAGGAGAGCAAGGTGGCTATCGATGAAGATCATCACCATTATCACCATCATAAAAATCCAGCCCAACACCCCTGTGAATGCATGCAGGCCATCATCCTGCCTTCTCTCCTCTTTGACAAATTGGCCATTGGTCAGCTTGGAGGAAAGACGTGCCAGAATCAGTGGTTGAGAAAAGGCTTCTGCCCAATATTTCCCTGAACATGTTTTACCTGTCGTGTTTCTTTTCTCGCAGCTCAGAC